TGTGACTCTCGTGGTGATCTGTTGGAAACTCTTCTCACTTCTCATCCTCTTTATGTTTTAAATACGGGTGCTTCCACCTATTTTGACTCGCACTGAGTCTCTCTCTTGCATCTATCTTTCTATCTGTTCCTCGCCAATTGCCCTTGATTATGCTTGGTCTATTCTCCCGGATTTGTACGGCAGTGATCACTTTTCTATTGTTCTTACTTCTACTACGTATTCCCGACTGCCTCGTAGCCCCCATTGGCAATTTGGGCGAGCGAATTGTGGACTTGTACTCTCATCTTACCGCTTTTTGGGGGGGGTCCATCTTCGTCCTCTGTTGATGAGCTGATGCACCAGTTTTCGACCTTTGTTTTGACTGCAGCATCACGTTCTATTCCTCAAACCTCAGGCAGGCATTCTCAGACATGCATGCCTTGGTTGTCTCCTGCATGTGCCCGTGCTCCTGCACGGGCACATGTAGCTCTGTAATCTTTTGACTACCGCCCACAGGATGGGTATGTAGTGCATAATAAAGATATTAAACTAATTTACTCTCTTAGAGCTAGAATCCACGCGTTCCGCTTGCAAGTCATCGGCAGCTGGGTCTGATGATATATCCGTATGCTACAACATCTACATTCTACAGCCCTTACAGTCCTTCTGCATCTTTTTAATCTTGTTTGGACGTGAGGGGTTCTCCCTCAACAATGGAAATCTGCCATTGTACTACCGTTTCGCAAACCAGTTACTTCGGGGCTTGATACCTCTCACTATCGTCCCATTGCTCTGACTAGTGTAGTCTGCAAGGTGATGGAACGATTGGTGAACAGATGTCTGATATTGTATATGGAGATTCCCAATGGTCTTCCTCCTCCCCAATATGGCTTCTGCAAGGGCCGCTCTACTTTGGACCCCTCCCTCCACTTAGATATGTATGTGTGAAGTGGATTTGCTAATAAACACTCCGTCCTAGCAGTCTTGTTTGATCTCCAGAAGGCATATGAAACCACTTTTAGGTATAACATCTTAGCCCGGGCCCACTCCTTAGGCCTCTGTGGTAATCTACCGACCTTCCTAGCTGCTTTCTTATCTGAAAGACATTTTCGAGTCCATGTTGGCGCCTCACATTCCTCAGACTTTGTTCAGGCCGAGGGAATCCTGCAAGGTTGTGTCCTTAGTACTACCCTTTTTCTCTTGGCTATAAATGAACTACCTTCCGTTCTTCCATCACATATTTGGTCGTCACATATGTGGATGACTTCGCTATAGCTTACGCAGGCGCTGACTGTCGCCTGGTAGCGACCTCCCTTCAGGAGTGTATATGCAAAACAAAAGTAGTAGAAATTTCAAGTCATAGAAGTATGTTTACATCACAGTTTTCACGCTTTTTTTTTATTTTTGCTTGTGTTCAGTATCGTTTTCCCGCACCAGTGTCCAGCAGTAGTTGGTTCTGTTTCACAGAAACGGTATGTGCTGGAGGAAAATTAAGCTCAGATTTGAATTCACCATCTCAAAATTAGTTAGAAACACATGTTTTTAAAAGTGAACCGAAACCACTGTTGGCCAGTGGTTTGATCAATTTGATCAAGTATACTGTAGTATTGCATATAGCTCTTTTAATGTTCTCTTGCTACTCGCTGTTAAGATTTATGGTCTCGTTTACACTTTGTTATGTTAATACATCCTTACTTGCTCTAAATATATCTTGTTTAACTAATTGCTACCCAAGTGGATGTTACGCTACCGAATGTTCATCTGTTCTCTCACTAGGAATCACTATTATATTTGTATTAGTAGTTTTTGTGATGTCACTGAGGTGATTCACGTTAATGTAAAGTCACAATGCCATGTCTGGAACAATTCACAAGTAACTCGTACTTACTAAAGGAACCTTGGGGCGACGTTTCGGTCCGTCATGGACAGTTGTCAAATCACATCTTTAATTAATTCATTCGGTGTGCTGACGCCATAAAAAAAACACACTATGGGATCATCATCATCAATGTGATGGCTTAAAGTTTTAATAATAATAATAATAATAATAACAGAGCTTAGTGTAATATGAAATAATCAAAACCCAATAAAAAAGTGATACCAGATAACTGGACTAGGACTAAAGCTCTCCATGGTAAAGTTATTCAAATGTGAAGGGTCGTGGGTGTTTTTCCTGCATGGTAAAACTTCAGTGGCGTCGAGCCAGGCAGACTGTCACTGGCCGGGCCTGGGTAAACACTGGGGATTTAGTGCAACCACCCCACGTCTCCACCAAACACCATAAACCTTTAATGGTGTGTATTTTCCGATATTCGAACGAAAACAATTGCTTAGCCGTGATTATATTGTTCTTGAGTTAGAGCAAGAACTGTGTTTACCTAACACCTATCATGCAGGGTTGGATTCCTATATCACATGATGTATTTATTGCACTAGATAATATAATCTATTGGCTTGAACTGCGAGACTATTAGGGCGATGAGGATATCGTTAAGTATTCCACTGGTGGCACATTCGCCACAGGAGTTTTAAAGGGTTGGTTCCAACAAGGCTGGAGTTTCTCTTTTGTAAGCGTTACTGTCTCTCGTCTTCCTGTCCTTCAAACAGGACGGCGTTTTCGAACTCAGAGCTTTTTCTTGATTACAAAAATTTAGTATTTGTTATTCATAGTTAGGTTAACGTGAATTAGTTTCTATTTACTTATAGTTAATCAACAATAATGAGATACCGTAAAGGGCGGCTTACCACTGGCTACGAGGGACATATTGTAGTACCCCAAGTACGCATTGATTATATTGAAGTTAGAGCTGCGAGATAACCTATCACGCCGCACACTACATGCATAAACTTGCTAATACTAAAAAAAAGTGATTACTGTTAAAAACTATCTAAACATATTTCAGCCGAAGGCCCTGCTGATTCACAAATGGAATGATTCGCATTTTAAGAAATGGTAAGAGGTCATGGATTAGTATCAGTGAAATAGAATACACACATTTACAGGTGGAGTATGTGATCTCAATTTTAAGCTAAGGAGCTATTGTGGTAGAGGCAAGGTGGTAAGTAACATTTAACATGGATAATTAATATATTCATGAGGAGGCGTCAGGCCCATAAACACCTTGGGAATGGGAGGTAATCAGGTTGATTCCGAGGAAGGGGAAGGCACTCAAATTCTATAGATTAGAAACCTTTTTCCAACATTAAGGCACCCCTCTGGATATACACTAATGTATTAGAGAAGGCTGTTAGTATAAATTCCTCGATGTGTAACTCCTGGAGAGAGAAAAAAATTATCATTAATTTATAATTCAGTGTACACATTTGTGCGTGCGTGTATATATATATATATATATATCTGGAGTTTATCTGGAGAGAGTTCCGGGGGTCAACGCCCCCGCGGCCCGGTCTGTGACCAGGCCTCCTTAGGTCAGTGTCCCAGGATGCGACCCACACCAGTCGACTAACACCCAGGTACCCATTTTACTGATGGGGAACATAGACAACAGGTGGAAAGAAACACGTCCAATGTTTCTACTCTGGCTGGGAATCGAACCCAGGCCCTCACCGTGTGAAGCGAGAGCGTTAACCACCAGGCCACCAATGTATTTTGTCTTTAAATAAAACATACTTGAAATATAGGGGGTGGTAGGAGAAAATTCTCAAACAGCTTCAGGGAGAACCTTAAGTTTTCCCTGAAGCAAGTTTATTCTTTTCTCTGAGGATGAGGGTCCCTACGACAGTTCTAGAGGTGGTACCTCCCTATATTATATAATATATATATATATATATATATATATATATATATATATATATATATATATATATATATATATATATATATATATATATACATATATATATATATATATATATATATATATATATATATATATATATTATATATATATATATATATATATATATATATATGTGTGTGTAATATATATAATATATATATATATATATATATATATATATATATATATATATATATATATATATATATATATATATATATATATATATATATATATATATATATATATATATATATATATATATATATATATATTATATATATATATTATATATATATATATATATATATATATGTATGTATGTATATTAGTGTGTGTGTGTGTGTGTACTCACCTAATTGTGGTTGCAGGGGTCGAGACTCTGTGTGTGTGTGTGTGTGTGTGTGTGTGAGGACATGGGTATGCACGTGGGTACAAGAGGTGAACTTCAGTTTGAGTAAGATGGTGCACCTTAGCATAAGTTAAGATTGTGATCTTTAGTTGGAGTTGTAAAGACCTTTAGCATTAGCGGTCCAAGGGGTACGGTGCTCGTCTGCTGCTACGCAGATGAGAATTCCAGCCCTCGCGACGTCAAGTTTATACAGTTAATTATTTTGACGATAGTGGGAAATCCCAGTTTGCATCGACAGGTTTATATGTTAATTATTTCGTGGCTCATCCCCCCCCCCCCCAGTATCCTCGTCTTAGACCAGGCCTTTTGGTTGATATTCTGGTCACTCGAACTATTGGTGATCGCTACACACAGACCGACGAAGACACACAGCCTGGTTAGTCAGAAACAGCTAGGGGCGTATTAGTAATTACCCTTACATTTGAAGGGATGGTGTCGAATTATCTATTAAAAACTTATTTTAATGAGATATTTTACACCGTTTGTCGTGCTTCTTACTCTCGTAAGAAGTAGTTGCAGTGTGCAGATAAGTAACCATTCCTTCCAGTGTTGTCCAGGTATAAATAATTATTTCTTTCTTTCCTGTGTTTCGGGTAGTGCAGAGATTTTAGGCATTCCCAATAATTTAGATGTTTCAATAAACATGGTAACGATAGTTCTGTGTACATTCTTTAAGAGTGCAATTTCATCTGCATTAGAAGGGAATTGTTAATGCTTAGTGTTTATTGTTTAATGTATTTCATGAAAAACTAATTCGTGTGGAGCAGGCTTAATCTTCTGTTTTTTTTTTTTTACACAATTTTTTACAGGCTAAGAGCTGTTATCCTACCTCAGCTCATTTCAAAGCCCAGCCGTGTTTAATATAAACTGCCACACCCGGGATGCGATCCACACCAGTCGGCTAACACCCAGGTACCTCCATATTTGCAGCCTGGTCTTTGACAAGTCAGTACAATTGCCTTAAATATAATTATATTTGGCTTAGCATCTCTTGTTTTAGATATTCTTGTACTCCAGCCTATCATTTGCTTTACAGCTGTAAAAATAAAAATTGAGCGCCTTTATTGTAATAAATTGGATGTTACCCTGAAACAAATTGTGCCAGATAATGCATAAAAAAGTGACCGACTATAGCAATAGAAGCTAGTTGAACTAAAGGTCTAGTGTAAACTCTCGTTTCTTTATAGTTGAACCCTCAGTGTTCCGCTAGTAAGGGTCTCTCCTACTGAAATTCCTCATTACAAAAACCTAGTGAGTTCTTAGTCTGTGACGTGTGTGTGCGCGCATGCCTTTGTGTGCACACGTATGTGTGCTTTTGTGTTTACGCACGTGTGTATGCATGAGTATTCTGGTGTGGATTTGTTTTTTCCTCCCCTCAGCCTGACTCAGAGTACGCTCCTTACTAAAGGCTTCACGTCCATGACGTCACACGTCAAACACACCGCTTCCTTCTTCATGCATAATTACATTTCATGTCCGTTTCTTTAATGGTTATATTGTATGAGGGAGGTTGGATGTATAAACGTAGGTAGCATTATTTATTATAAGTACATTATTTATTGTAAGTACTTGTCTTCATTATAAGTAAATATTATTACTGATTGTATTATTACTTGATATCGTGTAACATTATTTATCTTAAAATCTCTTTCCCACCAACAATTATCATTCGTTTCCTATTTTTCATTCAGTATCCATTACAACAGCTACATTTAACAACCTGAAATATTCTGATATCTCTCTCCAAGAACACAACGACGACGTCGACTTTGTTATTTTATATCGTTGATCTTATCATTACTAGTTAATATTAACAACAACAACAACAACAACAACTAATAATAATAATAATAATAATAATAATAATAATAATAATAATAATAATAATACAGTAGACCATCGTTTAACACGGTTTTGTTTTGGCACATTTTGCTTATAGCACTATTGAAGATTTGCTGCACCCTCCACCACTCCCACCATCCTTGTCCAACCCTTGGGTTCATACGTGTGTAGGACCATCCTCCGCTAGGTATATATGAGTATATATTAGTTTATGTGATGACTGACTGATTTACTGACTTACTGACTTGACTGACTGACTTGACTGATTTATGCACACTCCTGTACAACCATCGGCCTCAGTACCAGAACCTCTACCATCCACCTCAGCCCAGTAGGGCCACAGTATAACTCTCCACTCTTCACAATCATCCACAAACACCAGTACCCACAATTTAAGGTAAGAAATACTATTATTTCTGTTGCATTTGTAATTTTAAGCAGTAAAAACAACATAATACCTCACGACAATGAACTACAATTACATATTCACTTTTGTAAGATCTGTTGGTCTAAAAAAAAATTGCTTGGCGTTTTGGGGGCTCCCAGGAACGTAACCCTATTTTTCCCATAAGTTCTTCAGTTTGTCTAACACGGTTTTAACTACCACGGCATTGTCAGGACCGTAACTACTGTGTTAAATGACGGTCTACAATAATAATAATAATAATGATAATAATAATAATAATAATAATAATAATAATAATAATAATAATAACAATAATTATAATAATAATAATAATAATAATAATAATAATAATAATAATAATAATAATAATAATAATAATAATAATAATAATAATAATAATAACAATAACTCATAATCAGAGGTGAGAAACCATCGTGAAATGTGAGGCAGAAGGAAGCTCCTTAACCTTACTCCTCAAGGTAACTATGAGAGGCCTTTTAATCTAAGGAACTTGACCCTTCCTCCTATTTCCTAGGAGCTCTTTGGCCCCCTACGGGTTTAGCGCCTCTATTTTTTATTTGTTTTATTACTGTTGTCTACGTTCCTGCCCCTTAACTTATCATTCTTCTTGTCTTATCATTCCCTGCTCTTTAACTTATTATAGCTGCCCCTTAACCTATCCCTCCCTGTCGCTTAACCTATCCCTCCCTGCCGCTTAACCAATCCCTCCCTGCCGCTTAACCTATCCCTCCCTGTCGCTTAGCCTACTCCTCCCTGCCGGGGGAGTGAAATATCCTCCACTACATTGTGGATGTGTTTTAATAATAATTGTATTATGAAACAGGTAGGGCTTTCTGGAGTAGGTGTTTGTGACCATAACCAATGGCTGTGAGGAGACGTGCTATCAGTCTTCACTCTGCAGGTTCCGCTCTCCTCAGAGATTTGACGCTGACTCAGAGCAACAGGTGTTAAGAGACTTACTGTCAGCCTTCACCCTAAAGCATTAACTCTCCTGATTGACTTGACATTGACTCAGACCAACAACTGCTCTTGCTTTTTATTCTACAGGTTCCATTTTCTGAGGGTACTGACGCTGACTCAAACATCAGTTGCATTATTTGTTTATATTGCATCTGGTGCGGCTCTTGAATAAACTTGATGTCGTCACTGTCGGCAGGTGCTGAGGCGGCCAGACTCATCGTATATTTAGTGGCACAGTGACGGCTGCGAACCTGAGGGTGTTGTGGGGGGAGGCATTGAGGGAGGGGCAGCAAAGGTGGGTGCCGGCAAGGTGGGGGGCAGCAGAGAGCCGGGCAGAGGGCGCCACAGCAGCAACAGGCAAGCGTGCCCAATACCTCACAGTGCCAGCAGGTCTGGCGGTGTGAGCGTGTGTTACATGTGATGAGTGAACAATTCCTGCAGGATGGAGTGCCACCCGGGACGCCCACCCGGGACCTTACACCCCAACCTCTTTCTCAGGAGCAGGACCCTCAACAACAGCAGGAGGAACAGGAACAAGATTCCCAAGAGATTTTGCAGTCGGGGGACGCTGACGGTGGCTTGAGCATCACAGATGACGACGACAACAGGAAGATGTCGCAGGATTTCTTAATATCAGCCAGTCCCAGAGGCTCACCGTTGTTGCAGCCTTCAGCTCAACGGCGTTACCAAGACTCAGACTCGTGCCCGAGTGTGTCGCCCAGCCCTGACCCTGATTCCCGTCTCACCACCTTTGACTTCAGCATGATAGATGTGCCTGTAGAGGGCGAAGGTATATCTGCGGCCTTACAAACAGAACGCGAGTTTTTGGATTTTATGTTATCACTTCCTCAAGTACAGAAAGAAGGTCCGGGGCGGCCATTACATGCACCAAAGGAAAGCCCCGGTCGGGTTCCTCAGGTACAAAAGGAAGGGCTTTCACAGAAGGAAGGCCCAGGACAGCTCCCACAAGAAGATGCGCTGCAAGTGCGTTCTGAACATCGCAGCCCCTCGCGGCCACCTGCTACTGTGGGTGGTGTAGTGAATACCAAGGTAGGCCTGGATCACCTCGATAATCTGTGTCGTATGATGGAACAACTTGGTGAACTTCGAGAACAAAATACTCGCTTGCAGCGACGAGTTCACTATTTGGAAGAGCTGCAGACCCTCCAAGAAATGCATCGCCACCTTCAGGAAACACTAGAAGCTCGTCGCTCAGGGCTGGGACTGTGTCCAGTTCACTTGTCGGACTCTGATTTGCATCTAGACGATGACGGCGACGGCGGCGCCGGAGACTTATCACATCACGGGTCTGAAGAGAGCCTTCTGCTGCTCAGCCATCGGCCCACACACAAAGGTAAGCCTCGATCTGCCCATACCATGGTCCGCTCACGCAGTAAATCAGTGGGTACAGACCTACTCAATACAGATACACAACCAGTACCCAAAACTAAAGTCTCGGGATGGAAAAGAGTAATAGAAGCTCTGAAATGGGAACGTGCCCTTTTGCTGCCCCCTGCGCCTACCCCGGCCACTGCCACTAGTGCCCACCACCCTACGTCCCCCCAACCAACCCCTAGCCCTCAGCCCACCACTCACCAGGACCCGTTCTTACGTCCCCATTCCTCGTCCTCGTCATCCAGCATTCTGACGGAGGTAATGACCGAAGAGGAGCTCAACCTCTACCGCCAGAACTTCGACACTAGTAAGTAAACCAATCACCATGCATGCCCCCTCCTGCACCAACATTTTCTACTCTTGTCCTGCTGCCTCTTCTGGTATGATGCTCACTACTTTTATTTAACTAGAAAAATGAGGGAGAAAGAACTTTTTTTGCAAGCTCATCCTTTTCCGCTCCTCAATTCCCTTGGGAAAATACTACATTACGATCTGGTTTTAGGTAGATTATATTAACTATGTAGGTAGTATGTGCAATAAAAATTAAGCGGTTAATTGCAGCTTGAAATAGGTAAATAATGAATCTAGTAAAATAATTTTAGTAAGCAACTTTAACCTCGGTCATCCAGAACATCATTACGTATTCTCAGTCAGGTAGAAGCTGTGTTCTAATGACCTCCTCATTATTTTAATTAAGCTATCGTCATTTATTTGTTACTAGCAATATTTAGAGAACGTTTCTTACCATTTAAATGAAACTTAAAACAATTAAGCACATTAAAGCTGTCTAAATGAAAAATTTTCGTGTACACTTAAAAAAACTCAACTATTTAAAAAATCCTTTATTTGCACAACATTTGGCTCTTGAGTAGAGGTTTTCCAAGTCCTTACAAAAACTAGAGCGTAACGTTGGACAAATAAAGTGTTATTTTCGCATACTTGTGTCTGTCTGCGTTAGGCGTTACGCCCTTGAAACCATTTTTTTTCCTAGGGAGTCTGTGCCAGTGTAGCAGTAGGTGGATTTCCATGAAACTTAGTGCATTTTTAATATTGTCAAATAACATGCTGTATTATCACACTTTAAATTATAAATTTATTTGTTGTTGTTGAGGGTCACTTGTTGATAAATTAGACACATGTGCAACTCTTGGGTATCTTTATTGAGGAAACGTTTCGCCACACAGTGGCTTCATCAGTCCATACGTAGGAGAAACTTGAAGAACAGGAGGAGAATGAGGTAATCAGTCCCTCAACCTTGAGTCGATGTGTTCAGTCCATCAATCCATCAATCCTGTTCTTCAAGTTTCTCCTACGTATGGACTGATGAAGCCACTGTGTGGCAAAACGTTTCCTCAATAAAGATACCCAAGAGTTGCACATGTGTCTAATTTATCAACATGTCGGTTCTCTGAACCATTCATCTACAATTCTGTCAGACACTGCAACTTCTTGGGATCTTAATACTTAGGAATTCTTCGCTTGCCTAATTCTTGGGCACGACCTACTTCCACATTGAACAAATGTGACACGACCTATGACTGCTGCACCTCTCCTGCCATACGGTTTATAAGCTGCTTCTCCGCTCATCTGCCGTATTCTACTCAAGATTGATGGACTGAACACATCGACTCAAGGTTGAGGGACTGATTACCTCATTCTCCTCCTGTTCTTCAAGTTTCTCCTGCGTATGGACTGATGAAGCCACTGCGTGGCGAAACGTTTCCTCAATAAAGATACCCAAGAGTTGCACATGTGTCTAATTTATCAACATGTCGGTTCTCTGAACCATTCATCTACAAAGGGTCACTTGTGTACAGTTCAGGACAGTTATTATAGGAAACGTTTCTCCACGAGTGACATCTTCAGTCCTGATACAGAGACAAGTAAGAACGAGGTGTATGTTATTGTCTCTGTCAGGACTGAAGCTACTCGTAGCGAAACGTTTCCTTTAATAAACGTTCTGAACTGCACATGTCTTTGTCCACATCTTGTCGGTATCACCATACATTTTCCTTTTTTTTTCTAGAGTTAATTTTAAGCGATTTTATATATAGTGTTCACTACTGTTAAACCTCAAGAAATGCTGAAGATTTATAATCACTCTTCGTACTTATTCTCACTTAGTTTTCTACTGGAGTGTTGCGAGTGATAGTTTTGTGTTACACTTCTGTTATCTTGTGAAGGACTCTCATGAAGATCGGCGGAAGTTTAATGTATTTAAGACATACTCTTTAAATTTTCAGCTTGGTTCAAGTGGCTGATGTTTGGGCTAATTATATTTAATAGTTTTTTGGAGGTTAACTGGGTTTAATAGAGCGATGGTTGACACACTGGCTGCAGTGGCCAGAAGAGCTCATGCATGCAGGGCAAAGCTCCTGATCATGGGCGACTTTAACCACAAGGAGATCGAATGGGAGAACTTGGAGCCACATGGGGGCCAAGATACATGGAGGGCTAAGATGATGGAGGTGGTACTGGAAAACTTCATGTACCAACACGTAATGGACACTACAAGAGAGAGAGGAGAGGATGAACCAGCAAGACTGGACTTAGTATTCACCTTGAGTAGTGCAGATATTGAGGACATCACATATGAAAGACCTCTTGGGGCCAGTGATCATGTGGTTTTGAGCTTCGAATACACAGTAGAGCTACAAGTGGAGGGGGAAGCAGGAAGGCCAGGACAAATGAAACCAAACTACAGGAAAGGGGACTACACAGGAATGAGGAACTTCCTGAATGAGGTTCAGTGGGACAGAGAACTGGCAGGGAAGCCAGTTAATGAGATGATGGAATATGTAGCAACAATGTGCAAGGAGGCTGAGGAGAGGTTTGTACCCAAGGGTAACAGGAATAATGAAAAAGCCAGGATGAGCCCATGGTTCACCCAAAGATGCAAGGAGGCAAAAACCAAGTGTGCTAGGGAATGGAAGAAATATAGAAAGCAAAGGACCCAGGAGAATAAGGAGAGCAGTCGTAGAGCCAGAAACGAATATGCACAGATAAGAAGGGAGGCCCAACGTCAATATGAAAACGACATAGCAGCAAAAGCCAAATCTAACCCGAAGCTGTTATACAGCCACATCAGGAAGAAAACAACCGTCAAGGACCAGGTAATCAGGCTAAGGAAGGAAGGAGGAGAGACAACAAGAAATGACAGTGAAGTATGTGAGGAACTCAACAAGAGATTCAAAGAAGTGTTCACAGAGGAGACAGAAGGGGCTCCATAAAGACGGAGAGGTGGGGTACACCACCATGTGCTGGACACAGTACACACAACCGAGGAAGAAGTGAAGAGGCTTCTGAGTGAGCTAGATACCTCAAAGGCAATAGGGCCAGATAACATCTCTCCATGGGTCCTGAGAGAGGGAGCAGAGGCGCTATGTGTACCCCTAACAACAATATTCAATACATCTATCGAAACAGGGAGATTGCCTGAGGCATGGAAGACAGCAAATGTGGTCCCAGTCTTTCAAAAAGGAGACAGACATGAAGCACTAAACTACAGACCAGTGTCACTGACATGTATAGCATGCAAAATCATGGAAAAGATTGTCAGGAGAAGAATGGTGGAACATCTAGAAAGGAATGATCTCATCACCAGCAGCCAACATGGTTTCAGAGACGGGAAATCCTGTGTCACAAACCTACTGGAGTTCTTTGACATGGTGACAGCAGTAAGACAAGAGAGAGAGGGGTGGGTGGATTGCATTTTCTTGGACTGCAAGAAGGCGTTTGACACAGTACCACACAAGAGATTAGTGCAAAAACTGGAGGACCAAGCAGGGATAACAGGAAGGCACTGCAATGGATCAGGGAATACTTGTCAGGAAGACAGCAGCGAGTAATGGTACGTGGCGAGGTGTCAGAGTGGGCACCTGTGACCAGCGGGGTCCCACAGGGGTCAGTCCTAGGACCAGTGCTGTTTCTGGTATTTGTGAACGACATGACGGAAGGAATAAACTCCGAGGTGTCCCTATTTGCAGATGACGTGAAGTTGATGAGAAGAATTCATTCGATCGAAGACCAGGCAGAAATACAAAGGGATCTGGCAGACCTGGTCCAGCAACTGGCTCCTGGAGTTCAATCCCACCAAGTGCAAAGTCATGAGGATTGGGGAAGGGCAAAGAAGACCGCAGACGGAGTACAGTCTAGGGGGGCCAGAGACTACAAACATCACTCAAGGAAAAAGATTTTGGGGTGAGTATAACACCAGGCACATCTCCTGAAGCGCACATCAACCAAATAACTGCTGCAGCATATGGGCGCCTGGCAAACCTCAGAACAGCATTCCGACATCTTAATAAGGAATCGTTCAGGACCCTGTACACTGTGTACGTTAGGCCCATATTGGAGTATGCGGCACCAGTTTGGAACCCACACCTAGCCAAGCACGTAAAGAAACTAGAGAAAGTGCAAAGGTTTGCAACAAGACTAGTCCCAGAGTTAAGAGGTATGTCCTATGAGGAGAGGTTAAGGGAAATCAACCTGACGACACTGGAGGACAGGAGAGATAGGGGGGACGTGATAACGACTTACAAAATACTGAGAGGAATTGACAAGGTGGACAAAGACAGGATGTTCCATAGACTGGACACAGCAACACGGGGACACAGTTGGAAGCTGAAGACACAGATGAATCAAAGGGATGTTAGGAAGTATTTCTTCAGCCACAGAGTAGTCAGGAAGTGGAATATTTAGGGAAGCGATGTAGTGGAGGCAGGATCCATACATAGCTTTAAGCAGAGGTACGATAAAGCTCATGGTTCAGGGAGAGTGACCTAGTAGCGACCAGTGAAGAGGCGGGGCCAGGAGCTTGGACTCGACCCCTGCAACCTCAATTAGGTGAGTACAACTAGATGAGTACACACACACACACACACACACACACACACACACACACACACAGAAAATGAAAGGAATGGATGGCACGGGCGAAAGGGACTACTTAGTAGAAACAATCCAGACTGAGGGACATAAGGTGATAATTGCAGTAATGTACAACCCACCACAGAACTGCAGGAGGCCAAGAGAAGAATACGATGAGAGCAACAGACCAATGATCGACACACTAGCCGAGGTGGCCAGGAGAGCACACATGGGGGGAGCAAAGTTACTAGTTATAGGTGATTTCAATCACAAGGAGATTGACTGGGAAAACCTGGAGCCCCATGGGGGTCCCGAAACATGGAGAGCCAAGATGATGGATGTGGTACTGGAAAACCTCATGCATCAACATGTTAGAGACACTACCAGAGAGAGAGGAGAGGATGAACTAGCAAGACTGGACCTTGTATTCACCTTGAG